GAGTCCGAGTTAGACCTCATGGTGGTTCTTATTCTTTTGGGTGCTAGGGCTGGGCACACACAGCTCTTGCAGAGAGGCCTCTCAGACCTGGGAGGTGGCTCTGGCCAGGCTGCAGCAGATTATCACCCTTGGTTTGTCTCTGAGCAACCTCGGTGTTGTGCAAGTGGACAGAAATAACCAGCAAAGCGTTGTGGTGATCAACCTTCCTGCCCAGCTTTGCCTGTCCGCAGCGCTGCGGCAGGGAATCAAAGCCTGACACTAAGAGCCTGGTTCATGTCTCATGGATCCCTTTGAAACGGTCCAGGACTGCAGGACGGAGGGGTTAGTCCAGCTCTTCTCAAACCTACTCCCACAGTGGTGGCCCTGGGGCACTGTGACAGCAAGGTCCTCGGGGTATACAAGTACTTGGATGAGCATCATGGGGCACAAACCAATGCTGGGACTGTCTGGCCTCTGCCTCGCTGCTGTGTCTGTTCTCTGCAGCCTTGGTGGCTTCAACCTCTTTAAGTCCTGGGGAGCTGCTGTAGGCCCTTGGTCATCCCTCTCTCCTCTTTCTGAACTCTGGAATAAAGAGGAAAGAAGCCCATTTTTCCAAATCCAACTCTGGGTAAAAAAAACCCCAAAAAACCAACCCAAACCATCAGCGCACAGGAATTCATTCCAATTCCTGGCTCAGATTTTTTTATAAGCAATTGTTTTTTGGTTTATGTTTGAAACGGGGAGGAGAAGCGGTGGGGTACGAGTGAAGCTCGTGAGCTCATTGTTTCCAAACTCAGCATTCAATGGAAAATACCCAAAATATCATCTGTCCCTTTGTTTTCCCAGCTGCTTCTTTCCTATCCTTCCTGGTTTTGTTCTTGTCCCACTCTCCACATGTGCCACCTCCATATTTTCAGCTTTTGGAGTGTTGTGTGTCCTACTAAACTCTGCTTTAGCACCTCTCATCCCACTGCCTGCGGGAGATGGGGAAAGGGGAGATGGGGGATGTGAAGGTTCTTCTTCTTTTTTGGGGGACAGTGATTCTTTTTTTAGCTTTTCACTGAACTTTCTGTAGTTTTGTAAAAGTAAAGAATTTCTGCTAGGAAGTTTTCCTCTTGAGCCAGCACAAGACAGGAGGTGAAGGATGTTCTGGGCTCTGTTTGGTTTTTATTCTGTATGTTAAAATTTCCAACTATCTGCAGCAGCAATGTCCCATCCCTCCTCCTCAAGAGAGACTTTGTGGGGGGGAATAAACCCCCCCAAACTTGTGCCCTTCCTTGTACCAATACTCATGGCTGTAATTCTTTATTCCTGTGGTTCTTTTTACAGGTTTTTGGGGTTTTATACAACAATCTTTGTGATGGCTCTGTACGACCTAAGACTTCTGGGCAATTTATTACTGGGTTTTAAAATGTAAACTACCAGTTTTACATGTTTCCCGCTGCTTCTGGGGAGTATTTTTGTCCTGGATTTTAAACTACCAAATGTAAAGAACTGAAAAAAAAAAAAAAAGATGTAAATAAAGATCTCCTTTTTTAAGACTGTAGGTGCTTTTCCTTGGGGTAAATGTGTGGTGAGTGCTGTCTGTACGCCGAGGGCCTGGCACAGCAGGTGAGAACTGGCTGCTGGCATTCAGAGGAGGCATCCGTGTCTACAGCTGAAGCTCAAAAGCTGATTTACAGCCAATGTTAAAGCAAAGCTGCTTCTCCTCCAACTTAGTAGGGGAACTCTTGGAGTGGGATGACCCTGGTGGGGTGATCTAAGCTCTCCCTTGGTCCCATGGTGGAGAAAGGTCCAGCTGGAAGGACCTGGGCTCCCCACTGGAGGAGTCACCGGGGTGGTTGGGTTGTTTTCTTTCTGCTGGGAGGAATCCTGGGATGAGAGGGGATCTGATCAATGTCTATAAATATCTGAAATGTGGGGGCCAAATGGATGGGGCTGGGCTTTTTTTGGTGGTGCCCAGTGACAGGACAAGGGCCAATGGGCACAAACTGGGACACCAGAAGTTCCAGACAAACTGAAGGAAAAACTTCTTT